AACCTGCCCCGTCTCGACCCGACCCGTTACCAGCCCTTATCTACAGTAAGCCATAATAAACAACTAGGTTGGAGGGATGACGAGCTTGGAAGGCTTTTGATTACTTTACAAAATGCTATCTAAATACATGTACATTTGAAGGCAAAAAAGATATCTCAATACCATCACACTAGGTCTAGATGGTATCCAAATGCACCATAAGTAGTGTAATTTATCAAAATCTAATAGTGGTTTTTAAATTTAGATTGTTTTCTCATTTTGTGGCATAAACAAGTGGCAAACCCAAACCTATAATAAACGCATAGTTTAAGTTTTTGCAAAAAGTTATTTTGAAAAAAATTATTTTTGTATATATATATATTTTTATGTTTGTTTTGTAGAAAATTAGTCGACAATGAAAAAGAATTTGCTATAGTAATGTGTGAGTCTGGGAACCTAACCACTTAGATGAATTTTAAAATAAAAAAGAAAGTTGTCACCAATCTTTTTTGTTAAATATAATTGATCACCAAAAAAAATCTATCTTTTCAATAAAACCTTAAAACTAGTTTAAAATTTATCAAAAAGATAATTTTAGTTTTTGAAAATAAAGTTAGATTTAGAAGTACAGTTATGTATGGAGAATGATTAAAATTCCACAATGCTCAGTTTAAAAATGATACCAATTAATCATGCGTTATTTTTTTATTGTTAGATAAAAATGATTTCAACTTGATATTTAATAATAATTCCCTTCACTTTTTAAAATAATTCTTTATTTAGGTAAAATGAAAATCTAGTTTAGGAATAAAATGAAAATCTCGAGGTTAAAAAATTACCTTAAAACTACCTATTTAAACATAATTTAAAGATAACCCTTTTTACCCTAAAATTTATCATAATAATCTTTTAAAATGAAAATAACATTTTTTTTAGATGATAATTGTTGGCAACTCTTCAATATTTAAATAGAGTACCAATAATTATTTTCTTCAAAATATTTTTAATTTTATTTCATAAAACTCTTTTTTCTTAAATATTACTTTTCCAAAAACATTTTATGCAACAAAACTAATGTATGTAACCATTAATAAATGAACAGTAATAATAAAAGGCAATAAACATATGAAATAAATGCAAGCAGTTATTAAAAAATAAGTAAACATATGCAAATTGATGTCATGCATGAGAATGGATGATTAATGAGATGAATTTCACATTATTTTTATTTTGAAATGAAATTCTTAAATATAAAGAAACCACCAAGATTTTTCGACTTCTAGGCAAAATTTAAAACCAACTCTCTTCACTAAAGAACTCATTTTATTTTTATAAGAAAAAATGTATGTATTCTAGAAAATCATTTCTATTTTGTAGGAATCTCACAGAAATATTAGATGAAATAAAACTTCTTACATATCCCATCATCGAGGTGGTATTTAGAAGCAGATCATTTCGCCTAAGATTCTTTTGAATTTTAGGGGAACTTTTAAGGTAAAAAGAGGTTGGTTTAGGGTTCTAAAATAGGTTTAAAATTTGGAATGGGTTTAGGGTTTTAGGGAAACTTAGGGTTTTTAGTAGGTTTGGGGTTTCACGTAAGTTTAGGGTTTTGAGCAGGGTTTTGCTTTAGGGTTAGTTTTTAGGTTTAAGGTTTGATTTTAGGGTTACAAAATGGGGTTTTATGACCCCATGAGCCTCTTCAAATATTCTCATCATCTAGGCAAACTTTTAAAGTAAGCTAAGAGACCATAATTGCAAATCTTGTTTAGAGTTTTAATGTGTGTGCAAATGATGCATGATAATGCACATGACATTTAAGTACTAAACATAATACTAAACTAAAATGCAAAAGTTGCATGAAATTAAACTACCATGCAATTACATGACTAAGGCAATTTCACCAATAGTTAACAATCTAAACCATGCACACATAAACAACTACACGGCATGCTAAAAGGGAAAATAAGGTTTTGGCCAAGCATGGAAAATTACTTTGGCCAAATGAAACTCTGGCCTTAGTAGGGATTTTTGTGTTGGCCATTTATTAAGTATTATGTACCCGTTTTTAGGACTCATTAAAAACATTAGAAAACATGATAAAAACCTATTCTTATTTCATCAAACACTTAAAAAATTCCTAAAATACTAATTTTATGTTCTTGAAACTTCCATCAAACACTTGGAAAACATTGAATTTCACCAAGAACCAAAGCAAATAGGACATTTAGCATCACAATATAGCCACAAATGGAAGAATGGAAGTCTCAACCATGCCATGGGGATGCTAGGTCAAGACCTTCCTATGGCTTTTTACATCAACACTTCGATTAGTTGCTAAGAAATGCATCAAACACTTAGAAAACATGTTTAGAAAACTATTTTTATTATAAAAAGACTTTTATCAAACACATAGAGAACTACCAAGAATAAAAATACTTGAGAACATTTTATTGTCAAATAACAAACATAAGGCATCAAAAGGTAAGAAAGTATATAAATAAAAAACTCCAATACCTCGAACATATCACACTATCTAAAACAAAGCACTGGAAACATGAAAAGAGGAAAAAATGAGCTCCAACCTAGACATGGAACCCCCTAGGCTAGAACCCCTCACTTGGGTTTTAATGGCATTTTTTATTCTTTTTGTTATTTCAAACCCCTATCATTAGTTTGGCGAGATGAAATATTGAATCAAGAGAAAGTAGATGAGATAATCATGGAAAAATTTGTCTTTCTTTTAAAAAAGCATTAAGATAGGAAGGAACTACATGCATGAAAATGAAGCTTACATGGGAAATGCATGAAAAGAACAAAAAGGGATACTTTCTAAGTTTTTCCAAAATTTTGGATTTTTCCTTTTTGTATTTGGTAATCAATGCCACTCCCTCTTATTACCAATCCCTATTTTAGCCCTCAAATGGTTCATTAAAGACCTAGATCCCTCTTAGTAGCCATTGGATAAAATTAATCTAAGGGTAGTTATTTTATCTCTCTTACAAACTTGGTGACAAGTAATGCAATATAAGTCATACAATCATTGTACCTTCAAATTTAATGGCTTTAAAAAATTATAGTACATAATTTGGCTATTAGTGTAACTGTCCCAGCTATAAGATAAAAAAAGATCATTTTGCATTTATTAGTGATTAAAAGCGTTATTTTTACCTTTTCTCTTGATTTCATGATTTAATGATAATTTTTGTGATTTTATTAAGCCAAAATTCATAAAATAATACCTAGTCATAATTTGGAATTTTTTTAAGAAACTGACCTTTAGAAGGCTTAATTTAAAAAATGCCCTTAAAAGGAGTTTTTGTATTTTCTCCATTTTGTCGAGATCCAATATGATTTTTAAGAGTTCAAATCACAATTTTATTAATATGTCTTAATAGTCCTAGTCAATTAGAAATTCTAATGGTTGACCAAGGTTTGGCTAAGTTTGACCAATTTAAAAAGGGGGTATTTTGGTTATTTTAGTTGAAAATTCAGTTTTTATAGGATTTTCTTTCTAAATATTAGACTTTGACAAAACTTTGTTAGCTTTGACCAACTTTGACCCAAGCCCATAGTAAGGGTATTTTGGTTAAAATACATATTTTTGCTCAAAACTCAAAATTTGCTTTAAGATCTTAAAAAATCCAATTATTTGGTTTGATTCTCCTAAAACGACTTGATTGTAACCAAATTCGGTAAAATTCAAACAAGTTTGACTAAGTTAACTTTCTAGTTAACTTGTAATTTTTTCCCTAATTTTTTGTTATTTTTCTTATATCAACCTAAGAATTAATTTATTCAACAAGCATGAAACTTTTCTAAAGCTGAAGAAAATTTTAAAAATGACTAGAGTATCAATTTTTAAAACATCATAATTAACAAAAATATGTTCAAATAAAATTAAATGTCTATATAATTGGTAAAAGAAAATAAGGACAATTTTCTAGACATTATCGTCCCCTTTTGAAGGAAAATAATTCTAAGAAAAAATTTATATATGGGTGAGATAATTTATAAAACTCATGAGTACAATTTTTCTCAAGTTGAACTTTGAACATGATTTTTTTAAGCTCAAACTTAATTTGACTCGACCCAAACTATTATTATAAAAAATATTATTATTTAATTTTACTTAAAAATTAAAATATTAATATAAAAAATCTTCTAATATTTTATTTTGAAAATATTTTTATAGTTTTATTCGAGTAAAACCTTGAACATGATATTTTAAGTTTTGATATGATATGAAGTATTATTATATTAGTTAAAATATTTTTATTTAATAATTAAAATATTAACAATTCAAGTCTTTTAATATTTTAATTTTAAATATTTCTATTGTATATTATTAAACATAAAGATTTTAAATATTTCAATAATAAATAGTATTATATTTTTAATAATAAATAATAGTCTATTAAATAATATTTTTATTATTTTAGTAATTAATATTAAATAATATAATAAAATTATTATTTTCATAAAATTAATATTTTAATAATTTCTTATTATTTTTTAATTTAAAATATTTTGATTTTATATAATTAAATAATATTTTTGTTGTGGTTTAATAATAGATTATTCGATATAAAATATAACTATTTTAATATTATATATATTTTAAATATTTTAATAATTAATATTACTATTTTAAATATTATTATATTAATAAAAATAATATTCTAAGAATAACTATTTTAAATATTTTAAATTATTAATATAAATAATAAATAATTTTTTCAAATTTTTTTATATTAATATAATATTTTAAAATTAAATCTTATTATTAGAATATAAATTTTTGAATATTAACAATTTCAATAATAAATGATTTCAATATATTTTAATAATAAATAATTTTAAATATTTTAATAATTATATTAATATTATTTAAAAAATAAAATAACAAAAAATATTTTTATAAACTCATCTAAATATTAAAAAAATATTTAATTTTTTAAAACAATTTAATATTTTTCATAAAACATTTTTTAAAGTGAATTTTTGTCGAACAAAAGGAGCGCCACAATTTTAACAAACCAAGCTGAGTGGCGTTAACCTACCTATTCCAGGAGAAGGGATAACGTTCTCTCTCTCACTCTGCTCTCTCAACTCAACTCCCACCTATGGCAACGTCTTCTCACCTTTTAAACCACGTCCTCGTTAAAGGTAGGGTAACTCATTTATCTTATTTCATTTTTCTTTACAGTCTATTTGTGTCTAGGAAAAATCTTGAGAAAGGAAAGCAAACTGGGAATATATATACATATATATATATATATGACGAATTTTAACTTATATGCCATTTTCTTTTATTAATTTCTTTTTCAGAATGGCAATCTCTGGTAATGAAGAAAGATAATTCTGCTATCTCTGTAAGTACCCACCCTGATTATCGTTTTGTCTTTCATGGGAAATAGCTATTTTCAGTATTAGAGTTTTTCTTTTTTGATAAACAAGCATTGCAATAATGTTACTTATTTTGGAGTGAGGAAGAACATTTTTAGTTTGGGAAGGTAAATAAAGTCAAAATGCAAGTATTAGAAGTAGGGAAGGGCACGATACTAATAGGTTTCTTGTGGAACCATATCGAGTTTTGGGGTTAGTGAGAATGGTATGTGGTTGGATAATTAAGTAATACATTTTTGTGTGTGTGTGTGTGTTTGGAATCAGTTTGTGCATTTTAAGGGTATAAGTAAAAGGGAGAAGTTCATTTTAGGTGAAAATGTTTGAACATGTTTGATAATGATTACTAGTTTCTTGATAGTTAATCTGCAGTTGGTGCCTAAGACAAAAGTGGTTTGTTCCTATGCTCAAATTATGAATTGTTAACAGTACAAAAGTTGAACAAAAGCATATGATTTATTGTTTACATCTAGCTCAATTTCCTCCTTTTGGGTGTTGATTCAGTTTGCTTTTCTGGGAGAGTTTTCATCTTGATTCGACTCAGTTTTTCGTTGTATTACTTGGAAGGATTAAGTTTCATGTTGCCCCATTTGGATATTTTAGAACACATTTTGGAACTAGACTGAGAGGCCTGGCTTGTTTAAGTGGTGAACTCAAAATATTTTTGGAACTAGCTCTAGTGTTCCATCGATAATCCTGTCTAGATAGCAGTTAAATTTAAAACTAGTCTTTGCTCCTTTTCTTTTGCCTTTCGGAAGTTGACTTGTTGATTTGGTTTGAGTCATTGAACACAATCCAACCAGAAGTTGGATCCTAACCCTCCAAATGTTAAGAATTCTCTTCTCAGTGTTCATACGTTTAATTATACAGTTTTATTTTTTTATTTCCTTACAAAAAACATTTGGCTGCATAACACTCAAACCATATTGCTTCACTATGTAAAGAACAAGAAAAAAAAATGTAGCATGGCAACTTGTTATTTATCCCAACTGACAGTTGAAGGTTTTTGAATAAAACGTAGCTTTAGGCACCAACTTGAAAGCTACCATAACTGTGACTAACAAAATACAAATACCATAAAGCTGTAAATTGTAATAGATATTGTATAACATTTTAGACTATCTAGCTAAGATCTATAACTGTATCAAATTAAAGTTGAGCATTTCAGTGACTAGTAACCTAATTTCCCAATCTTTCTAGTCATTCTGTGGGCTGGCCATTTTATATAACTGATATGGTAATTGCTTGCTTCTATAGCTTCATGAGTGTGCCATTCCTTTTAATGGGCTTCCTCTCTTATCCTGTTGAATGTCTAGTTGGTTAAATTATGTTGCTGTAGGGTCGATTCTCCTCTGCTACAGATCCTTCTAAAAATTGTTCCAACTTTATCAGGTGATCCATGTGAATTACCACCTCAAGATTCTATTGACAACTTTTTCTCACTGTGTCTTTATGCCATTCCAGAATCCAAAATTTTGTTTATATTTAGTTATTTTTCTTTTGACTAACCTTTGTCCTTAGGGCCCATGTAGTTTTTGGTGATCTTAATGCCAATGGTTAGCTATGTCTATCCTTCAATTAAAATTGGTTCACCTTAGTGACCCTGCAGTAGGTGTGATATCTTAGTGGTGCTGATCTAGCTATTTGAGTCTAATATTTCTCGTGTCTGTATTTTCAAAATCAAGTTGATATTGCAGTAGTCATATTTAATAGTATCTTGCCATTTAGGACATCCTTCTTTGATTTTTCCCCATTAGGACTACATTCTGTGTGCTAATAGAATTTTTGCATCCATGGCCTCTGTTTTTGTCCTTGCAATGTCATCACTCAAGTTCAGATGGTACAGCTGCCTGCAGCCTATATTCTTGAAAACTACTGGAATAAAGCAAAACTTTCCCCAGTGTCCTCATTTGTAAATTTCAATGACACATTATTTTCTGGCTTAACCGATTCTATGTTCCGGTAGATTCAACTGCTATGAAGCATCTTGAATAATTATCTCAAGACTCCCAATTTAAAATGGATACATCTAGAGAATAGTAGAGGTGATGGCCTTTCAGAAAACTTCTTTTCATAATTTGAGAATTTAAATTAAGTTTTCTTTGCATATGTTCAATCTTGCTAGAACATCACAAGTTTTCAACTGCTCTGTTGACGATTCGTAATTTCATTAAATACTTTAGAGGATTAGGAAAATTGAAGAAAAAATAAAAGAAAAGTTTTAATTGAGTCAGAATATAAAGACAATCAAACTAAATTTATCATTTGGGTTAAGATTCATGCATTTCAACTCTCATGTTTATAGATCTTTTATTATCTTTCACAGGAAAGACTCAAATGTCCTACAAGGAAAAGTTCAAATCAAAACCATCGAGTCTCATGGTGCAGCACATATTGTTGCTTAGGAGTCACGAATTCTAATATTGATCTCCTGTCATCCAAGGTAACCATTTCAGGGGAGCCACCATACATTTTTGGCAATGCAAGAAATATTAAGCTCAACATGCAAGTTTCTCCAGAAGTCACCTCGGATCTAACTAGGAGATTATTACTGGCAGATTTGGACGCTGCCACAGCGAAACTGGCAATAGGTATTTTAGGGCCCTTTCTCTCAGCATTTGCCTTCCTATTTATTTTGAGAATAGTGATGTCCTGGTACCCTAAGCTTCCAGTGGAGAAATTTCCATATGTCATTGCTTATGCTCCCACTGAACCATTTCTCATCGCTACCCGAAAGTTGATTCCACCTCTTGGAGGAGTGGATGTAACTCCTGTGGTGTGGTTTGGATTGGTTAGTTTCCTTAACGAGATCCTCGTAGGGCCACAAGGGCTTCTTGTCCTTATCTCGCAGCAGGTTAGCTAGTACGCATTCAGAAATGAATAAATGGTTGTATTATTCTTTTTTCATGGCATATGACCATACAAGGTCTCTTGTGTAAAGATTAATGGATTTTCAGTTTCCAAAATTTGGTGTTCTAATTAACAAATTTAATTTACAATGTTTGGAATCTAAGAAAGATTATGAAGTGGAAGTTCTTTGCCTCACTTGTGCAAGAACATGGCACCTATAAACCTGATTGAATTAAAGTGAATGAATAGTTAAACCTATTAAGATCTAATTTTTTATACTGAATTTATTTTCTAGTTTTCCGTGATGTTACATAGTTAAGCTTCAATAGGAACTCATTGTTATGTACGAGGATAAGCCACTCTGATTGATACCAATGCCGTTTTAGCCCACTTTGTGAGGAAGAAAAACCAGAATATCAATATGTTTAGCTCACAGTTTAGATAGATCAAGATGACTGTGGGTTTAGCAGTGAGGTGATGCTCTTGTACTTTTTTTTTTTCCTTTTATGTTCCTTTGGTTTTTGTTTTTAATCATCTGAAGATGATTTGGATTTAAAAAATTCTGAAAATCATTCATCATTTTTTTTTTTGTTAAGGATATACTCATTTCAAAATGGATTCAATTTTGAAAATTCCTCAACTACCAAAGCTCGACTCATAACAAAATGAGTTCGGTTTTAAAAATTTCTCAAACTCCTAATCGAGACTGGAGCCATCTCAAAATGAGTTTGATTTTGAAAATTTTTTGATCAAGGCTCGTCTTTATCTCAAAATGAATTCAGTGTTGAAAATTCCTTCGACACTAACCTTGCATTTTCATATACTGCTAGCATCATGCTACTTATGCGATATTTGCTAAATGCTTGTAATGCCTTTTATAATATGTCATGATCAATCATAATAATGCAAATGTTATTACCAAAAGTCATAACATGTATTCTTATTCATGGTTTCTTAAAGGCATTATAGATCCATTTCTCCTTAAAATTCTCTTTCATTTTATTTTTCTGTTTCAAATCAAATTTCCTATTATGATGTCATTTCTTTGTAACACTGTACCTCTTTTGAGGTTTACTTGAATTAGGTCATCGACCCTGCTTTTATGTTTCACCCTGCAGCTTGCCGGTATCACTAGCCCTTCACCCTCACGCATGATTCTCATGTTTCGTTTTTTGGTTTACCTCTCTGCCTTTCACTTTTGCTACATATTATCCTCAAATATGTCAGAGTAATACAAGAATTTTTTATGACCATTATTTCCATTTATTCAGCGTCATTCAAATTTTTATGTCAAAACGTAAGGTATCGCAAATTTTCTATTTGAAAATAAGCAAGCAAATCAAAGGTAAAGTTGGGAAAATAGTATATTTTATTTGCTAATATGCAATCCATTAATTAAGATAATTAGAGTAAATTGCAAATTCGATTTAATAATAGAACCGAGTCAGTTTGAAACAGACGGTTCAATTTGATTATAATAACTAAAAGCCAAAGGTACAAGTTTAAGAAAATTACAATAATACTCAGATGATCGATACTCATAACCCAAGTTTGTTTTTTTTTTTTAGGGCCTTCTAAATACACTACAAAATTTTTCTCTACACTTCATAATTTTTTTTTAAAAATATCCATATGAAAAATATTAATTTTATCCTTTAGTAAATTGTAACTTTACCCTCATACATTCTATTTACTCTCCTTTCTCTTCTTTTTCTTCCCCTTTTCTTCCTTTTTTCTCTTTTTTCTTCCTTATTTTTTAGGCGTTAAATCCTAAATTTTTAAAATTAAAACTAAAATTTTGAAACCTTTGTTAAATTTTATAAACCGTATAAAAATGTATAGATAAATGAAAAACTATGATGGGGGAGACGAGCTCAATAAGGTAATGAAATTTCAAACCAATTGAGCCTAATATTTTTATATTTATGAAAATTCATTTAAAAAAATACAACATAATTTTTAAAAATAGATTTTTGAAAATTATAACGTATTTTCTAAAATCCATTTTCGAAAAAACATCATAAAATTTTGAAACTATATATTTCTTCTAATTATAATTTCTTAACATAATATGATATGTAAATTAATTTGGAAGTTGCATTGATAGAGTGGGATCAGTCATCAGAAAATTTAAATACTAGATATGATTTCACAGATTCATTTACAACGGAAGAGGTAAGATTATGTTTTTTAGGTTTAGTGTTATTGGAAGGCATAAAATGTTATTTCCATAGATGAAATAAGTTAAATATGTTGTGCAAGTGTTTTGTAGTAGAGAAGTTTTAATTTCATGGGTTAGGCATGTTGGAAAAGATTAAGGTTTTGTGATTGTGATTAAAAACTTTGAAGTGGGAGACCCAAGGAAATCTAAAATAAGATTGGCATGTGAACAAAGTGGAAAATATAGACAACAAAAGAATAAGAGTAATGTAGAAGAAATGCAACATAAGAGAACAGGAATGAAAAAGTATGGTTGCTTGTTTGGGTTACATAGGATTAAGTTGGCAATGGATTATGAGTAAAGTGTAAAAATAGTTTGTATATTTCACAATCATTTACTAGCAAAATAATTAGAGAAACATTGATTTGCAAGTCGATTAACTGAAAAAAAAAAAAAAAAAAAAGAGAATAGTTGCAGATATGTCAAATAGTATGGTCAGATCCAAAAACATACTATTGACTATAAATGAAAAGAATGTTAGCACTATAAAGACAGTATACAGCGAACGTCAAAGACATAATGAAAAAGCTAATAGATCACAAATGCAACTACTCATAAAAAAATTGATCGATTGTAAATACCTAGAGTGGCATAGGATTGACAAGTTAAGCGATTGCATGAAAGATTTGTTCTGGACTCATCCTACTAGTGTACAATTATTGCATGCCTTCCTAAATGTCCTGATTATGGATTACACTTATAAAACAAACAGATATCATATGCTATTGCTTCAAATTGTTGGTCTGACTTCCATTTAAATGATATTTTCTATTGCATTTGTGTACATGGAGATCAAGTGTTCAGAAATTTACATTTGGGCATTGGATAAGTTAAAAAATTTTATACTTGTTGGTAAATTTTTTACTATCATTGTTATTGATAGAGAGTTGGCATTGATTAATGCCAAAGAGGCAATATTTCCTAGCATGATCAATTTTCTATGTAGATTGCATATCTTAATAAATGTGCTTGTGAATTGTAAGAAATTTTTTGAGCAAATAAAGAAATGAAAAACATTCATGTCTAATTATAGTGTACTAGTGTATTCATTTACCAATGATGAGTACGAGAGGCATCTAGGCTCATTAAAAATTTATTACCAAACTTATGCAGGTACAATAAAGTATGTGAAAGATCAGTGGCTTACAAAGTATAATGATATATTTATGACTACTTTAATGAATAAAATAATGCACTTTGGCAATGTTACAACAAATATGTATTATTTATGTTGCATTATTAAGATTATTTATGGTTTCAGGGTTTCATAACAAATAATTAATATACATTTATTAATTCATTTATAACTGAGAGTGCACATTTGAAATTAAAGAGGCACATTGGTTTATCTTAAGGGGATTTAAAATCATCATGAAAGATAATTAACGCATTTATTAAGGTTCAACACACAGAGATCAAGGCTTTATTTGAGCAAAATTTTACCACTGTCGAGTATAATTTCAAGCCTTCATTGTTTAAAGAGTTGTGAGATTTGGTATCTAGGAGTGCACTGAATATGATATTGATGAAAGTTAAACAAGCTAACTATATTAGGATTAATGCAAAGGCATGTGGTTGCGTGATCAAAAGCACACATAGATTACTTTGTGCATGAAATTACGAGCATATAAAGGTGAGAAATCTAATTTCTTTATCTGAAGTGCATTTGCATTGAAAAAAGTTGGATTTAGTGAAAAGCAAAGATAATAAAATATTTGAAGAGTTGACCAAAACATTAAACACTTCAATGAATGTGATGAGTTTGGTAAATTAGTCATGAAAAGAAAGTCATCAAAACTTGGTGATCCGTCAACTACTACCTTGATGCCACCATTAAAGATGACTAAACCAAAAGGTCATAAAGCTATAAAAGCAGATACCTTTACACGATGCAACCCATCATACTGAAGATTGTGTTATCAACTTAGAATAGTACATCACCACTAATCATTGCAAACTTAGTGAAAATGATGATACAAATTATTAAACTTCCTATTCACTGCCCCTATGGTAAATGAAAATTGCTATATTTGGATAGTTTGCCAATGGAGTTACATCCATATATATAGAGCATCATTGATATTGAGACAGATAGACATTGTGGTTTTTGTTTTATTGCAGAGTTGCTTAGATTAGAATTAGATGGTTGGGTATAGGTGCAACACGATTTAATTGAAAAGCTTAATCGATTTCGAGGTGATTATGTAACTTTGTATAAATCCATGAAACATTTTGAGGAACCTTATCGTGTTTCGACATTTTTGCCTCATATGATAAATAGATGACCTTACTCGATATAGGTCATTTGATTGTCTCACGATATAACGTCATGCTAGTCCACCTCAGTTTGAGATGATACCTAACATATCTCCTTATTAGATCTATACCACTTGCACCATTGGAGTAGAGAGTAATTACAATTAGATTTGTCAATGATTGTCATTTTGTGTAAGTACTATTAATTGGTGTTGTCATTTACTATTTATGTTTATTGTTCCTATTTTATGTAAGTGTTAATGACGTTATCTAAATAACGTTCCTATTTTATGTAAGTGTTAATGAAGTCATTCTCACCAATACCTCATATTATATTCAATTGACATAGAATTTAGTATAATTGTACTTAAGAGTGGGAGATTCTATATGTACCATACATTAAAGATTTCAAATTATTGTTTAGTACAAATTTTGATATGGCCACTCAAGAAACAATACTCATTGATTGATTATTTTTGTAATAATTGTTAATAGTTTATATTAATGTTTATGGTTTATATATTTGTTTAGGGTTTATATATTGAACATGTTATCTAATGAACAATTGTTATATTGAACATGTTATATAATAGGATGTATCATATTTAACAAGTAATCTAATGGATATTTTATAAATATAACATACTATAATGATGTTTATAAATGTACTAAACTAAATATAAAATCATATGACATAAAGTATTAGTACATAGCAATCAATATATCAATCCTTATCCCTTGGCCCCTTGATTTGAAAATATACACTAGATGGATGAGTGGGCTATGCTATCTATGTGAAACTTTTTGGCAAGGTCGATACTATCATCTCCATAAGGGGAGAGCTCATACACAAGGATGATGCTGTGGTCATTGCTATCAGTGGTGGGGATGGCACAGGCATGATTGGGCTAGAAGGTGCTGATGTCGATGGATTAGGGATGGAGTAGACACAAGCGAGCTTGGAGGTGCTAGTGTCAATGGAATTAGGGATGAAATAGGTACTGGTGGCTTAGACAGTCTAGGCAATAGAATGCATTAAATAATGGTGTAAAAGTTGATGTCTGATGCAATACTACCAGTCTAAAATGATTATTGCTGCCTATTGTAGTTGATGACATGGACAATAAAACATGTACTTTGATAATTGCATCTTTTCATAGATTAGTACTTTGATCAAATTCGCTAGACAAATCATGCTTAACAAAAGATAAAGCACCAAGCTCTGTTACAAAATATTAATAAGGTTATCAATATTTATAACAAATAATTAAAATTAACAAAGTAATTAAAAATCATAAAATGATAAAATTTATAACTTACTGAATCATTAGTAGGTGTAGCATTTACCAACTGAGCCTGAAATCCAGATCTATGCTCTAGATTTTGAATTTAACATTATGAAATTGCTGCGAACCAAGCATCATAGTCCTATGAACACTCTTCTATTCTCTAACATCTCTAACCTCAACGTTCATTCGGTATAACATGCATATCCTATCTATCCTAGAATTGGTGCAGAAAGTTATATGTAACATTGTACAAGTTGGAAGATACTCCTCGATCAGCACGAGACAAGTTCAGAGGAATAATCTATACAAATCCAATCTATTGTAGAACCATCTCTGAATGATACAGCCTTACAATTGCCTCGCACTTGATACATCTAGTGAAAAAAGACAATATCATGCAATGGATGTTAATCCCATCAATCGATGTATGGTTCCTAGCATACGTAAAATACTATCAACATATAAGCACTCCCATAAGGTTTGCAATGCCTCAATATAAAGATAAGCCTTCCATCGTCGAGCATGTGATAAATTATCTGTGTATGTCAATATGGCCATTAGGCTAAATGATGGAAAGTGCTTGTAAGTAATATTTAATCACATATATAAGTAATAAAAAATAATTCAAATAATTATAATATGTTTTTTACTAATTATAAATACATACATAGAAAAGTGTCAAATAACCAATGATCTGATGCATGTTTGCCCTGCTTGTAATTCCAAGCTACCTATACAAGTAAGTGAGGCAAGTTGTCCCTCAAGCAAATCTACCCATGGTAATGAGGTCAGTCACTATGAGTAAATATGCTACGGATACTCTCATCGTGATCTCGTCAATGAATAGTGTACCCCTTAGCAAATGGAGTAGAAAAACCTAATATGCATAAACAATTGCCTCATCATCTGATGCATCTATAACACCTTTAAAGGTATCCCTCAACCATTGTAGTCAAATAGTGGATCTCTTAGCCCACTCAATCTCTACTCTAGGTGCAGACACAGAAACTCCAAGTAACCTCATCAACAATGTGTTCACCTCAGCGATTGACAAATAATTCATTGAAACCTTGGTCCTAATGATTGATATATGTAGAATGACAAACACATTATCCAGAGTGATGGTCATATCTCTGAATGACAAATGAAAAGTGTTCGCTTCAAGCTGCCACCTTTCAAAAAAAGCTGAAACTATTGTGTTATTAATTGTATGATAGGTGTAGTTGATGAGTAAATTCAACCTTAACATCGTACTCATCCAACCTTGACATCGTAACATTGGCTTGGATATGACTATATGTATTGCTTACATGCCATTATTATAACTTCAACTCGTGATTAATCGATTTCAATGCATCTTGCTTTTGTAACAATAACCAAAAAAAAAAAAAATTAACAACAAAATCACCAATATCAACAACAAAAATAATAACATCAACAATAGTAATCAACTAATTTACTTTAAAGACATAAACTAACACAATTTGTATTATATGAATCAATTGATTATCTAGTCATTCCATATTTGTAATTCCACATGAGATCCGAAACTTAAAAGAATAGATGTATCAATCAAACCTCCAAAAAATGATTCAAGCTGCTCTACAATGCATCTACAAACCTATCACGATGCTCATGCGTGGTAGGTTCAACAGCTTCATCATAATGCATGGAATATTCAACTCAAGGGATGTCATTTACTATACAGTCCTCTGACTCACCATCCCTTACTCGGCATCTCTTTTCGAAGGCAGTCAGACGCCTCCAATTTGGATCGAGATCAGCTTCAGTACCTTTACCTCTACTCAAAATAGCTTCGCCTCATATACGAGCCATATCTATTAAAAAAATAAATCATTAAGCTTACAGAATATATTTAGTAAACCCTAAACTCTTTATTAATAGAAAATTAAATTTCTTTATTGACAAAAATATAAGATGAATAAAGAAATATCGATTATGGGGGTTGAGTCAAAATTTTCAAATACAAATTCAATATAGTTAAGGCTTTTAGGAATGCATATTCGAAAACTTTAAAGGCTTCAAAGAAATCTATTTTCGAGAAGTCTTTAAGGCTCACGGATATGCATTTCTGAGAAGCCTTAAAGGCTCTTGGAAATAGATTTCTAAAAGTTTTGAAAGCTTATCGAAAATTCATTTTCGAAAAATTTAATAAATTTGATGAAACAATTTGTAAATCTTACACTATTTTCACATGAATTAAAACCAAATCAATCGAAATAAATATCAAAATCTAACCTGTAATCAAGGGAAGACTAAAAAAACTTGTGATTTTGGGATTAGTTTGATGGATTTAGGATTAGTTTAATGGATTTAAGGTTAATTTTGGATTAAGAGTGAGAGAATGAAGAATGATTTAAGTGTATGAAGGAAAATATGAATTTGCTGGATTGGGTGTATTTGAAAAAAATAAAAATTTGAATTTTGAATATAGAATGTATTTAATAATAAGGTGTAAAAAGTAAATAATGTGGTACAAACACAATTCCCTTTTTTGATAAAACCATTGAACGGTGTCTTTAATCATTTAAGAATGCTTGCGACAGAACTTTGCGCCCTTTTTCTGGCCACCAACCATCAGATTTGAAAACCTTCAATAAGAAAAAATATATAAAAAATTTTAATATTTGGAGCCCCAAAAAAGGAAGTAGAAAAGTGATGGAAGCTCAAGGTTCTTTTGGTTTTAGAAAATAATTTTTATTTTCTAAAAAATATATTTAATAAATAAATATAAAAATTATTTTTAAAATATATAAATAAAGAAATAAATAAAATACTCAATGATATTACTATTAATGTCATCTAATTATAAATAAAATGTATATTTATTAATTAATGACATTAACAAATATTCAAATATGATAACTTGCAAAACATAAACTAAAAACTAATGTACATTCATAGTTTTTACAATTAAAAATATCTTTTTTTTTTGTTTTCATATTTTAATTCATTTTTATTTTTATTTTCTAAAATTTATTTTAATTTTTAATTTATCAAACATGTTTTCACTCATATTTTTCATTTTTAAGAAAATGAAAACAAAAATATTCTATTTTCTAAAATCAAACATTTAGTAAGGTTTTGACGTTCTTTTTTTCATTTATTGGCAACCAAAATTTTTTTACCAAACTTGAGGTTTATATGCCAACAAAATTCCCAATAATTTACTACTGCCATTTTTTTTTTTTAAGGATTGACAATTTTGAGCACGTATGATATATAGGTAAATGAATCGTGTTGATTTTTTTTTTTTTCATTTCCGATTAGATTATATCTAAAAATGGATGTTACAATGAAACATCACTCAACACATAAGATGTAATTCTTATATTTAAGAAAAATTTGATAAATAAATTAAAATAGTTTGAATTGAAACTTAAAAATTTGGGAACCACTTGCTTGCTTTTGAAATAAGGCCTCATTAGCCTTGAAATTTTGCCAATTTTATTATGCCACAAAATTCCAAGTCCCAAATAGCTCAACTAATGTATGCCGAATATGACAAGTATATATAATTTGTTTTAATTTTTTTATTTAAAAAAAGGTCGCAATCTCCGACTCCAATTTGTTTAATGGTTGTGCTATTAGAGTCGACCAACTCAATCTATCTAATATCCTTTATACCCATTTAAACAATGCCCGACCCAAATCCTCTCATTCATTATACTTACTTTCGGATTTACTTTATTTTACTTTATTACCGACACATTTGAAAAAAAAAAAAAAGTGAAAAACGATGAAAAAGGAAATAGGGGAAAGATAAAAACTTTGATCTGGCCGCAATGTCAATAACCAATAAAGAACATTTAGACAATAGACCAATATTAGGCTACGTGGCTCAACCTGAACCAGGGACAACTTATCAAGATAGTGGCTCAGTCGTAAATCCCAATCCAATTAGACGTGGCTCAATCGAGCTCCACTCCGGATGTTTCCGAAACAGGTCAATATTTTAGGCAAGATCAAAGTTCAACCTAACCACATGAGTGAGAAATCGAATAGAACTACGATGGCAGTTCCATCCGTATCATGTAAGATTTGATCTGATTTAATTTTTTTAAATTAATTATTTTTGAAGATTAAGTTTTGGGTTGAATTAAATTGGATAACAGTAAAAAAATTTTGAATAGAGTAAATTTTAAGTAAATTTGTTTTGATTTAATTGGATATATATAATTATTTTTTTAATTATATATATTTATTTAATTTTACTAGCTAGCGACCATCACTTGAGCCACCCGCTTATTCAAAGCGAGGGAAACGCTCGAGGTAGTAGTATTTGCGCTCAACTTCTCCCTATCTTTCTTTTCAGGTAACCCTTGGCACAAAAAATATGCTCAATTCTGAACTGAAACCAAATGCCTATCTTCCTAATCGGAAGCCCAAATTTCGTAATCTATTCAGTCAATCAATTTGCCATCCATGAACTATGATTTTTTTCAAAATTTCTCAAGACCATAAAAGTAATGTCAACCGCTCGTTGGCCGGGGTTAGCTAAAAGCGATTGTGTATATGCATTGATTCAAACGACAAATCCACTGAATTGAAATAAGTATCTTCAAAATTATATTGAACTGAAAGAATGAATCAAAATTTTCTACATACTGAAAAGAATAAAAAAACAACAATTGATATTTGTACATTTCAGATTTTCTGCCTTACAAACATTCAAAAAATTTCCATCTGTTTCATCGAATCCATTCAGAATCCAGAATGATGGAAAAAGCAGTTGGAACATCCTAAATTAGTAGCTTAATCTCCAAAATTCCCTTCTCTTGCAAGGTTGAATGCCGATGTCCCCTCATTTACATTGATCTATCCTTCTAATCTCACAAATTCAAAGAAAAACCCCATGCTTGCTAAGTGTTCTTCTTGCAGGCTGTTTCCTTTACTTCCTCCTTTGGCCGAGGCTGCATATGGCGGTGAACTAACTCTTGTAAAGCTTCCCTCATCCACAAATGTGGGCATTCTTCTCTAGCTTTAGAGACTGTCACCTACGAAGACAAGATAACAAATGTTTAGATCGTCTTATATAAAAACTTGAAATCAAAGTATTGGTAATTTGTGCAACAGTTTCACCATCGTATTACTAACAGATAGGATTGATTTAATTACTAAATATCAAATATTCCAAATTCATGAACTATCTCAGTTCCACCCTTGAGAGATGGCATCCAATGGATTGAGTTTCAAATCCAAACACATGCAATTTCTCTCCTTATCTCCAGACTATTTTGCCTCTTTGTACAAAAAAACTTGAAATTCATGGACATTTATTTTTCATGAGTAATCAAACTATCACACTTAAGCATTTCTCTTTACTATAATTCATTAGCATATTGCTACGAAATACATACCCATTTCCGTTTCCGGATGTTTTTCTCAGGCCAGCGATCTAACTCTTGCTTGACAAGCAAAGCAAACATGTGGCCTTCATGGAATATACTCTGCCTTTTGCTTTTATATGACCATTTACCTAATTCGCACTGCAAAAATACATCCAAATAATGGAGTTAAAATCAAGAAATGTTAATGAAGAGTTAAAATCGAAAAACGTTGGTAGAGATACTAACTTCAATATCGCCAATCACACCAGCTTCCTCAAACGTCTCTCGAATGGCTGCGTCTTCCATGGATTCATCTTTTTCCCAACCCCCCTTGGGGAATAACATTCCTTCACTATTCTGTGCACTAATTACAAGAACTTCAATCGCTTCATCGTTTGAAGTTGCGTCTTTCGTTTTCCTATATCTGTACGGAATGCATCTGCTCAAAGAAAAAGATCCAATTAGAAACTTTTTTCTGAAAAAACTTGATTAGAATTTTAATTATTAGTTAAAAATAACAAGGCTTTTCGTTGTCAAAAATTATTTTCCATTAAATTGAATTCTTGCCAAAACCCAGAAAGGGAATTGTAAAAAAAAAAAAAAAAAACGAAAAAACAAACCATCAAGCATGAAAATCATCTAAGAGACTAAAAAACTAAGGCAGTGTTCATCTGTTGGAAAAAGACCCATTTCAACGTTATAATTCAAAACAAAAATAAAAAATCATAATTAGTAAAACCAAACCAATAAAAGAACAGGATTTTGGTTTTCGATTTTTTATTTTTCTCATTCCCCAGCATGACAAAGGGAAAAAAAAAAAAAGAAACATACCCAACAACTAATCGAAAGCCTCTGTTATCATAGCGCTGCAAGTGCCTGCCGGTGCGAGCATAAGAAACACGAGAAACCATTTTTTCAATTTGCATGGGCAATTTGACAGGGATTCTTTCAAGGAGAGACAACAAAAAGTAGATAAAAGGGGGAAAATTTGTTAGAAAGCCCGAGATTCCTCCCATGGTGTCAAGAGATAAAAGAAAAGAGAACAGCAATCCTTCTAAAAGTGGTTGCTTTGGAATTTTGCAGAATTTTTTGTTTCCTTTGTCACACTCTGTATTTAGAGTTTGTGCCTCGGAACGATTTGTAATTTGTAGATAAAACTTTTCCTGCTAAAAAGCTGTGGATAAGAACCGAGCCTCGGACGTGTCTCCCACTCTTAGCTGCTTTAATAGAAATTGGGAGAGACAAAGGAAAGACAAAAGAAACCTTCATCAAAACCAACGCGCCTATTTCCACTCGTGGTTTCCACTTCCAAGATATTAATTTCGAGAGGTTAATTACAAAATTGGCTAATTAAAAAGAAAAGCTAAACAACGAAGTTACGTATTAAACATATTATAAAAATTAAAAAATAAAATTATTTATTATATTAAAGATACAGTAAAAAGTAAAAAAAATTAAGCATAGTTAAATAACAAACTTAATAGGCTTGTTGTTATAAAAAAATTTGCTACTAATTGTTGATGCCAAAATAAATAGTAATGGTATAATCAAGTTGAATCAATATAATTTATTGTATATTTGAGTTCAATTTAATTTGAAATTTCAAAATTCAAAAACTCTACTTGTACTTAATTTTTTATGTTTACGTTTGGTTTGAAATTTAATTGAATTTTTTAAATTTGATTTGATAAATTTAATTGGATTTGTAAAATTATAAATATTAATATTAAAAATTATATATACATTAAATATATTAAAAAATAAAAAACTCAATTAAATTCAAGAATAAGGATGTCAAAAGGTCGCATATAAGATGGATAGAGTATTTAGCATCTCCATCATTAGTTTTTTATATATGTTCATCTTGTATTTATATCTAATAAATATTTTAAATTTACTTTCATCCATATTTCGTTGGTATTTAAAAAATATGGATATCTTCGTACCTATAATTCTTTTAAAAAAATATTTTTAATTTTTTTATTTTTTCTTACATATTTATGTAATTTTTTTTATAAATATATATTTTTAATACAAATATATTAATTATAATTAATCTAAAATAAAATGTATATTATTAAATAAAAATTAATTTATTAAATATATAAAAATATATAGGGTATGAATATGGGATGAGTGCTATATTATATATTTTCATATCCATAACCAATAAAAATTTAAAATCATACTCATTTTTATTTTAATTCTCAAAATTTAATAGTTATCCTCATTCTTATTAAGATAAAAAAAAGATTTACTATTAAATTTAATTAAAATTGACATTATTATTCAAATACTTCTCAAATCAAATATTAAATTATTCAAACTCAAATTAATCTTACTAAACCTTACTAAAATAATTCGATTTTGATTAAACATGAGTCAAATTCAAATTTAACTCCCAAATAATTTAATTCATTTACACCCTTAATCAATATCAGAGATACTTTTAGATTTGAGCCAATCTCAGAACAGATGGAGTCAATGAACAAACTTCACACTTCAACTCTTAAATCAATTATTAGTTGAAGGAAAGTGACTCCAATGCTAAAATCAATTATTGAAGGAAAATGAAAAGGCAGAGAGAGAGAGATACTATCTCATTCGGCTTGAGCAGGCCTCTTTATATAGGCTGTTCAAGATCCAAGCCGGAAAGCTAGCTCATGAAATTCGAATTTGGCATTTATAGTCTCATGTTTGATTTTGCATGAAATGTTTATAGTAATTTTACCGTATGTTTTTTTTAAAGATTTACTAAAAAGTGCCAGGTGTCTCGGATAATTTGGTGCTTAGGGCTTTAGTTAAATAAGGAGATTAATGTATTTGTATAATTTAAAATATTAAAATTTATGTATTTATATTATATTTTATACGAAAATTATTTGTCATAATTCATATTTATATAAAACCATTAAATATTTTTTTTTGATGTTATTAAATTCATATATAATTATTACTAAAATTTTAAATCATATTATTTTTGTATTTATTTTTTATATTATATTTATGTCGTAATATCGTATTGTATTTTAAATTATCAAGTCTATATTCAACTTATATTATAACATGATTATTTTTTTATTTAATTAAGCGTATTAAATTTTTTATACATTTTTAATAGATACCCAACCCAGTATAAATGCAATTTGCAAAAAAAAACTTGAATTTTATCACTTTAGTTCGATAAATTTCTATATTTTTATTACATTCAAATAAATCATTAACTTTTAATTTATATTCAAATAAACTTTTAATCTTTAATTTGTAATATTAAGTCATTAACTTTGAATTTGTCCTTAAGCCAGCATTTAACATAAATCAGTCTTACGTTTGAAATAAAGACTAAATTGGATACAAATTAAATTATAAGAATTTATTTGAATACATTATAAATATAGAGATTTAAGTAAGAAAAATGAAATAGTTCAGCAGCCTTTTTAATATTTTAGTAATTTGCAAATTTATGTAAATTGCTTACCTAGCAAACACTTCTACTTTAATTTTCAGTTTTAATGAAGTTAAACATTCATTTTGTGTTAGAAAAACTACAAGGTGATTCAAATTATTATACTTTTTAATTTTAGAATAAATTTATCATTATATTTCAAATTCGGAGCAATTAAAAAATAATGAGGAAAAAATTATGTTAGAATCTGTTTACAATTTTAAAATAATTTTGAAATGATATGGCAGCGATTCAAATATGGGTTTCGTGGATTTATTGATTTTAGGTTTCTTGATGTGGTTTTTGTGTTTTAGGTAATTTTTTAAATTTTTTTGTTTTTATTTTATATTTTATATTTTCATATATTTTTATTTTTTTAGATTTAAAATATTAAAAATAGAAATTTAAAAAATGAAAGAAATGAAAATCAAAAGAAATAAACAAAAGAAGGATAAAGAAAAGAAAATGAATAATCGGGTTTTTGTTGGGCTTAAAACCCAACTTGAGATTAAAACCTAATTTATCAAATTATAGTTCAATTAATAATTTAAATGTTCAAAAAACTTTATCTAAATGTGAAAAAAATGTTGCGGTTCAATTAATAAATTATTTTTTTATTTTATTTTAAATTAAATTCTAAATTTAATAATTAATTTATGCATAGAGATTCAATTTGAATACATCAAGGTAAATGAATTAATTTCACAATTTGACCGAAGTATAAGATATACAATTTAAAAAAAAATTGATGTAAAAATACTAATGTGATTAAAAATATTTACGTCATGTAAAAAAAATAAAATGTCACATCATCAATTTAAATAGAAAAAATTTAAACTATTAAAAATTTGACTAAATATAACAATTAATTAATATATAAAGATCCAATTTGAACACATTAATGTAGAGAGAATAATTCTATCATTTGATCAAAGTATAGGGATTGATAGTACAATTCAATCACTTATTTTTTTACCATATTTGACCATTTATTTTTTAGGTTAAAAGGGCAATAGATGCTCTTTATTATGATTTTATAATTATTTAAATTTTAATATTTTATTACAATCAATCAAAATCTTAATATTTTATTTCAACTTAATTGAACCCTTAAATAGACAAAATTTAATTACATGACAAATTTAACCAATCAATTCTCGAATTACACTCAATTGAATCTTTAGAAAGATTTTAAAAATAGAGGGACAAGGAAAATATAAAAGAAAAAAAAAAGAAAAAATTATTTATTTTATTTAATTCTTATATATATTAATTGTATCATGTGGTAAACTTTCATTTATTTTATTGATGTCACATGTAATTTTATTTTAGTTGATAAAAAATTAACTGTGTTAACCTTTTCATCCAAATAAATGCTTAATTGGATGCAAATAATGTTGAAGGGATTAATTGATTGTAATAAAAAAATAAAAGCTTGGATGATTTCTTAATTATAGTTGAAGGGTTTTTTTATTAAATATAATACCATGTAATCCAAAATTTTCATTTTATTTTATTTTTTTCTTATTTTATCTTGGTATTTTCTATTTATATAATACTACATCAAAGTTTTTTAGTTGATCTTGGTTAATTTTTTTATCATATTTTAGATTATTTTTAAATTATAAAATAGTTTAGAACAAAAATTTTTACTGAATATTTTATGACGATAAATTTGCTTCAAAATTACAATAATTAAAAAACTTATGATAAATTTAGACAATTCACATAAATAAAATGATAAATTTGTATCTCATTAAACATATCATCTCTTTCATTAGTGCAAAGGAAATCACTTTCACAATAATAAGAGAGACATAATGAAAGAAAATGTTTCCAAAGAACCCTAAAAAGGGAACAAATGGAGAATAATTTTTCAATAATTAATTAGTTAAAAGGTCAGAGCGTAGGAAAAACGCGCATGGGAGAGCATTGGCTTACTACTTGCGTCGTTTGATTCGATATTGATAAGAGGTTGGGAAGGGGACGTGTTTACGCTTGTGTTTCTGTTGGTGAGCTGTATGAGTAACGCGTGCGGGTGGCAAAGTCGCACTCGGTTTTTGCCCAGCTTTGATGAAGACTCAGTCTCACCATACACGGTTTTAGGTGCCACAGTACTGAAAAAAAAAAAAAACTACACCGTATATAATGGATCTTTTGTACCGAGCTCCCATGAGCTCTCCTTGAATCTTGGCCATCAGATTTCGACTACTCTAATTCATGCCTTTGGATCCAATTAGATTTGACTATTCATATATTTATATCATATAAAATATTAAAATTTATGTATTTATATTATATTTTATATAAAAATTACATATCATAATTTATATTGATACTAATATATAAAATATAAATTTTTTTATTTATTAAACTTATATATAATTATTGTTATAATTTTAAGTTATATTATTTTTGTGTCTTATTTTTATATTATATTTTTATCGTATCATTGTATGATATTTTAAATTCTCACTAGCTTGTGACCCATGCAATGCATGAATTAATTAATTTATTTAATTTGAAATTATAATTATAAAATGATATTAAAGTTTAAATAAATATCTGAACAAAATATAAAGGTATTATTTCAAAATATTAAACTCTTTATTTTTTGAATTTTTTAAGTGAAAATAGATGATCATCTCTTCATAAACTATTTTCAAATCTTATGTAATTATCAAATTTAAACTTGAAAATAATGTATTTAAATTTACAAAATGATAGGAAGTCTTGAAAGATAAACACTTTCCTAGGCTT